CAGGGACCATGCATTGTGGTGACCATGCACTGCAGGGACCATGCATTGTGGTGACCATGCACTGCAGCGATCATGCACCGGAACCTCGGAAACCATGAACTCAAATAATTCTTTCCTCATTACAAGCTGATTTTTCCCAAGTATTCTGCCACAGTGACAAAAAGCAGGCCAACACATGGACTAAAAAGATTTTGATTAATAGGAAAACCAAAAGCATCCGGGTAGTTCTTCCTCAATTTCTAAGAAATCTTTACCTCCTGGGCACCAAAGAAAATCTGTGTCTCTAGAGGAAGTTATATGTGCACGCTCGTGTGGTAGGGTGGGTGTGTGAGAGGGCCGGTCATGTTCAAAGCGTGCCATGGGTTATACACCAAAGGATACAATGCCCTTTGTCACAACTTTGCACCCTCCTCTGAGTCCGAGAAGTTCAGTGATTAATGAGACCGCAGCAGGCTTCAAGAAGGATCTTGATATCGTCTCTCTCTCTGGCCTTTCGCTTTCTTCTGTTTTTCTCTGAAAACCCTGTGAGGTGGTTTGAATGAAAAATGTTCCCCATAGGCTACCGTATTTGAATAGTTGGGCTCCAGGTGGTTTGGGGGAGGCTATGGAGCCTTTCAGAGGGGCAGCTCTGCTGGAAGTACATCACTGGAGGTGAACTTTGAGGGCTTAGAACCTCATGCCACTTCCTGTCCTCCTTCTCTGTGTCCTGTGCGTGGATAAAATGTAATCAGCCCGTCTCCTGCTGCTGCCAACAAGACAAGCCTTCCCTGCCATTATGGACTGGAGATTCCGGAAACATAAGCCAAAGTAACGCTTTTATCCTGAAAGGTGCTTTTGGTCCTGATGTTTACCACAGCAGTGGCAAGGCACACACCTCGTCACGCTGCCTTTCTGATTTCTTGTCTGTTCTTTGCTCTCCATGTCCAGTTAACCCAGGGCTCTAGCACCCAAAGAAAATGTCAAAAGTCAGAAGAGCCTCTTTTTATAAGTGTGAATAAATAATATCAAATATAAAGACACCAAAAACTGGGCCAGGTGATACACACCTGCAATAGTCCTCAGAGGATTGAGGAAGGGGGATGATGAGCTCACGATCAGCCTGGGCTACAGAGCAAATCTGAAACCAGCCTGAACTACTCGGAAAGTTTGAGTCCAGCCTGGGCTACCCAGTGAGATCCTTCCTGTCAGTAAGTAAGTCACTATTTAATATACAGTGGAACTGAGCGCACTAGTCACACGCACCACGTGATGACCCTGTAGAGATTTCCTCCGGCACCGCCACAGCAACGGGAAACAGACTGACAGTTATCATGACCATGGTTTTATCGTTTTTTATGAGTTAGGGCTGATAAATTCTCCTTTAGTTATTAACCCTATTTTATAAACAGAGAAACCTAGGCCAGGAAAAGCAGTAATTTACCAGATTGAAAAAAAAAAATGACCACAGTACTTTGCAGCTTCTTCCATCAACAAGTGCGGCCATCTACTGGATGGTGGGAGACCACCCGGAACACAGATGAGCTAGCGTCCCAGCAGGAAGCCCTGACCACAGCAATCCCTGAGCCAGTGTGCAAGCAGACAGACACAACCACTGTAATTATTTCATTTGTGAGCAGCAGAGCTAGCTTTCAAACTCAGGGAGCTGGTTCCATATCCTATTTTCCACACTTAACACTCTTCTGTATACGAAAGAACAGGGATTCTCTGACAGTGGGAAGCAAGCCATCTTCCAAAGAAGCTGGAAAGATTTAGATTTGATATAACTTGAGGTGATAGCTAGCTAAAGATACCAGTCTTTCAATAAATGATGCCAGAGTACCTGGTATCCACCCATATGCAAAAAAAGGAACTTTGACAGACTCTCATACCCTGTGCAAAAATGAACTCAAACTAGCTTATGAACTTAAATGTAAAACTTTAAAATTTAGGGGGAGAAAAAACACAGGAGAAAAGTTTAGAATCTAGGGCTATCTACTGAGAGTTTTGGGACGTGTCTCTAAAGTAAAATTCATAGAAAAATCCCAGTAAGTGGAACCACATCGAAATACAAAGCTTTCCTCTGTGAAAGACCCTGTTGAAGAGTCAATGGACACGTCAATAAACTGCAGGGACATGCCTGCACCTCGTACCTCACCAAGGATGGGCACCTACAAGTCAGGACTGCATGCTTGAGCATTCATCTCTGAGACATGAAAACTATGTTCATATAAAACCTGTACATGCGTGTTCAATGTGGCGTTATGCATAGCCTCTCTGCATCCTTGAGAGGGCAAAGCCCAGATATCCTTAGTGAGAGTGGTCATTCTCGCTACCATTTTAAGATGGTTGCCTTCACCATTAGCTACTACTCAGATCAGGCTCTGGAGAACCATGTTGAAATAATGGAAAAACAACAACAGAACCCAAAACAAAACAACAAACAAACAAAAAAACACACACACACACACACACTCCTGCCAAAAAAACAGAGTAAAGCAACCCAGAAAATTCAAGCCGCACTTCAGATGATTTCATTTCTATAGTATTCTACAAATGAAAAAAAAAAATAAGTCATAGAAGAGATTAGTGGTGGGCAAGGGTTAGGGCTAAGGGAGAGGTGGCAGTCATAACAAAGAAATGGACACAAAGGTCCGATGGTTTATCTTCACTGTATTAATCCTAGCATCCTGCTAGAAATACTGCTTGAAATTGGGTAAAGGATATAAGGGCTCAGTATTGTAAGTGTACTGATTAAAAAAAAAAAAAAAAAAAAAGAGTCAAGAGGAAAGACTACCAAAAAACCTCCAAAACCCACATTATTGACAAAAACAAATATTGGGAGCATCCAGCAGCAGGCAGCGTCCTGTATACTTCTGCTGGCCTGCAATCCATTCTGACCACCTCACTCCCCACATACTCATCAGCGGTACATACGCAATCTGGGCACAGCTACAGACTGGACCCAAGGCAGCAGACGCTGGCTGAAGGGCTGGAACCCAGAGCGGTGTAAGTATCTCAGCATGGCAAGACGAGGTCACAGATCCAAACACCTGCGGGAAGAATTTTTTAAAGGGGGAGGGGAGTCAGGAAAAATGCTAGACAACACATTACATTCTCCTCTGTTTCTCCTTCTCTTAGCGTAAAACTGTGACTCACGTGATTTAAACTTTGTTATATTAGAGAAACGACCACCTCCTCAGTGTTACAGGAATAGAAAAAAGAACAAAGAGCTTCCTTCCCTCCCTCCCCCCGTTTTTTTAAAGAACTGCTTTACTTTTTATATACCAAACAGTAATTAGATACAATGAATATTTTGAATGATAAAATATTTTTAAGATATAATGTTTGAATGTCAGTATTAAATCTTCGTTATATTTCCTTTCCTGGTAAGGGTTCTCTAATGATTAACAAATCCATCCTCAACAGCAGCCCGCCACTGTCTCCCAACCGAATGTGGAGACTCGCAGAACTGAAATGTCAGCTTGGTTCTTGCCAGCACAAGAGGAAAGGTGGGGGGCAGGGTGCAGGGGAGGGGTCCTGGTTGCGGCAGGAATCTAAGGTAAACTCTGGAGGTCAGGGGTGTAATGTTTGTAAATGGCTAGCATCTTATTATTGCACTTATTATTATGAATGTAAGTGTGTGATCTCAACAGTGAGGATGTAGTGGCCATGAAAAAATTTTCTTATCCTGGGTCAAACCTAAGGTTTTAGACAACGAATGTCCCACACATAGACACACAAAAACCCAGTAGAGGACTCACTCATTCTTGTAAGCACATCGACAAGTCAATTGTTACTGAGCTCTTATGCTATAAGGCCACTGGGGTTTCACAAGATAAGAAAAATAACTGCATTTCCTTTAAGTTGTGCTTCATAGACTGGGGGATATATTCCAAATCCTATGTGTGTATATGTGTGTGGTGGTGGTTAGGGTACCTGCAAACATGGAGGTCAATTCAAGTGTCTTGTTCTATCTCGGTCCACCTGTTTTTTGTTTGTTTTTGAGATCAAATCTCTGAATGAACCCAGAGCTTGCTGTTTTGGTCGGGCTGGTGAGCCAGTGAACCCCTGCTTGTCTCCTTCCCCTAGCTCTGGTGTATCACCACACCCAGAGTTTACACGGGTGCTCGGGATCCGAACTCAGGTCCTCACGCTGGCACGGCAAGCACTTTCCCCACTCAACCATTTCCTCAGGCCCCCGAATCCACAGCAATGCACCGTTCTACAGTTATTCTGCACGGAAGCGCAGACGTGAAGAGGAGATGGCGGCAGGCTGATGAGTGCACGCGGTGAGGGACGGCTAATAGTGACATACTCCTGGTGGCAGCCCCTTTGCACCGTCCTCTGCAGTTCTAGCAGTCAAAGCTGAACAGAATCCTCTAGGTGAGCCGGTTCAGGCACTGTTGCTCTCCACCAATGAGTTATCAACTTCCCTTTGGTGCAGGGAACACAGGATGGGGAACACGGCTTTAGAGCTGTGCAGACTTGGGTGTTAGCTCTATCCTGGCCAGGGGTATGACTTTTGGAGGTTTACTTGGAACTTTGTAAGCCTCAATTTCCTCGTCTGTAAATGAGGGATAATAACGGTTAGGACAGCATGAGATCACTATGGGAATTAGACCAGGCAATGCATGGAAAGCGCCTGGGTACACGGGTAAGGCTCACGTCTGTCTCCCTCCTCTGCCTTTTAAAAGGCACAGACACGTCTTCAGCTTCCCACTTTTTATTCCCTTCAGCGACACAAAAAGGTCAAAAGAGCCACTGGTGGGCAGCTGAGCATGGTACCATACTCCTGTAATCCCAGCAGTTGGGGGTAAGGAGAGGCAAAAAGATCAGAAAGTCAAGGTCATTCTCGGCACGCAGCCGCAGCCAGTTCGAGGCCAGCCTGAGCTCCATAGCACCCTGGCTCAGAACAGAACCTGATCTAATCACATACATGTTTCTAGATTGTTTCCCCCGTCTTGTCTAAGTACAGAAAGCTCTGAATGTCTGAGATCCATTAAGTCATCGGGTCTTCCCTTGTACCTTGTCTCGTCTCTGTCCCCTGCAGGTAGCCTGTTCTTTCAGTGCAATGGACTGGTTCAACCTGGCAGTTTACTGTGCCAGCAAAAACCAGACAAGAGATATAAAGGCCCAAAGTGTGACCGAGACGTTTTTACATTTTAACTCAGAACATCTCTCAAGTACCTATCCACAACTACACTGAAAGCTCTTATCTCACTTAGAGAAGTGAACTTCAGTCTCAACAAACCACCCAGAAAAAAACACATGCTGAGTTCATGGTTCAGTACTTAACAAAAAGACAAAAGCCCAAAGATAAATGCCCCTGCTTCAGAGGGTGGGGGAATAAAGCTGGGGTGAGGAGTGATGAGTGAAAATTCTGAGGGCACCCTGTTTGTGCCATGAGATAATTTACCGCACGCAGGGGCTCTTGGGGTAACCCTGGCTGCAGGGAGTATCAACCATGCACACCCATATGTCAGGGCGTGAGCACAGACAACTGCAGACCCAGGCCGTGGGGGTGTGCCGGCGGCTCATAACATACCAGGCGTATCACTACTCGCAGCGCTGGGGCACTGGAAGTGGGTTAGGGATCTGGGTGAGAAGGGGCTGCAGGGTCTTCAGGCCTCCACCTGGTCGCGTACCCAAAAGATCGCCAGATACCCGGGGCCTCCTATGCCCCGCACTGGGAGCCGTGCACCAGCATCTCAGAGCACCTGGGTGCCCCCAAGCCGCCACCACCCGCGACCCGCTCCCATCCCCTCCCCCGTGGATGCGCCACGCGTCTCCTCCACGCCCCGAGTGCACCCTGGCCCAGTGTCACCCGCTCGCCTACCTGCTAGCAGCCGACCCCAGTCCCGGCCCACTCTCCGCGCCGGGTGCCCTGGCCTCCGCCTTTTCTTCCGTCTACGTCCCCGCTCTCCGGCGTTGCGTCAGCCGCGTTACAGTGAACCCCGGCCGCGGCGCCAGCGCCGTTGACGTTAGGCGACGGGTCCGACCCGAGCTACGCCGCGGCGACGGCGCAGGCGCTTCTGAGAATCGCGCCCACGCTCCACGTGGCGGCCCCCTCCCACCCCCAAGCGCCCAAAGAGTATAGGGGCGGGGCTCCGGCACCCAGACAGGAGCCGGCCCAGGCAGCTTCCCAGCCAGGTGGAGAAGGGGGTTGGCTCCCAGTTGCTGATGGAGTTGGTAAAAAATGTTTGGCAGTGATCATCTGTACGGCAGGCTCGCCTGAAAAATAGATTGGATCAATTAAGACCCTCGGCCCCCCCAAAAAAGAACAAACAAAAACTGGCGGTTGAAAACAAATGGCACCATAATAAAATAAGTTGGCACCTAGTTATCCGGAAATAACAGCCCAAGTGTTTTCCGCAAAGGCAGTGGTAAGAATACTGCATTTTAAAAGTGTGTTTAATCTCTAATAACTGATTATTCCAAAGCTGAATGTGTCAAGAGCACAAGCTGTCTTCTTCCCAGCTGGCTGTTCTCCTCGCATCGCACATAGGCACACTGTGGTTGGAAGTTGGTGCTTTGTGCTTTTGTGGTCCTGACAAGTCTGCTGAACCCATTCATTCATTTTCTCATTCACTAAAGGGGGCTTACGGCCGCTTCAGTCGCCCCCAGAATTGACCCTCCCCCTCCCCCCGTGCCAAAAAGAAACTTGACTGTTGACAGCATCCTTGTTTAGCTGGATGCAGTTCCTGCAATCCCAGCATTCCAGAGGCAGAGGTCAGTTTCCCATTTCCTAACCGCCAATCTATTAGAAAAGAGTCTTAAAGTCCCTGTTTCCTGCTTCTTTCCCACAGGTGAACCAAAATCTCCAGAGGCAGGGCTCAGTTTGTGTTTTATCTTAAAGAACCCCAGCAGGATTTTTGGGAACCTATTTCCCGTGCTGGTTTGCCTTGCACAGCCTTGATGCAGGGGGAGGGGCTTGGTTCTGCATCAACTTGTTGCACTATGCTTTGACTCCAATGGGAGGCCAGTT